AAATAACAACAACAACAACAACAGCCGTCGCCACACAGCGGCCCGGGCAGGGGCTGAGGGGCTAGCCGGGCCACGGCCAAGGCGGGGATGACTGGCGTCTAGGCCGGTGGGTAGTCCTAGGTATATACACTATGCAGACACTATGTACTGGGGTCCAAGTAGCTGTTTGGTTCGAGTCGCCTACTACTGTGATACATACCACTGCACTTAGACGAGTGATACCTTCTAGGGAGGTGCTTGTTGGGCGACGAATATGCGCGGTGGTATGTACACTACACTACAATACTACACTGGGTAGGCCGGGGGAGGTCACCAAATTACGTAACACGGCTGGAAAAGTGGATTTCAGGATGCTCGGCAAGATAGTGTAGTTGCCACTTGAGCGAGCCGAGGTGCACATCCTTTCGGAGGCAGAGCACGTCAAGGGTTGGAGACCAGCCTCAAGACAATGGAACACTGGTCCAACAACGGTCGCTGTCACCAACCTAGTAACCAACAACCAACGCTATCACAACGTTATTCCGCATAGGGAATCGAGTGAAAAACTCGTCCACGCTAACACTTCCCCCGGCTCGTGCAGACACTCCTCTGCTCGGCTAGAACTTGTTGGCTTGCTACGCCAATTCTACAGGAAACAGGGGGCGGACAGACGACAAGCAAGCCATTTGTTGTCTGAAAGATGGACGAGGGCATCTTGGGGTCTTGGTGGCGATGCCTGGACATGGAGAGACCGCAGACTAACGGCGGACAGCGACCGGCGGAGACATGAGTGGGAAAGAGTTGGGGTTTGCGAGTTCTTCGCTGAGGCTCAAGGGGGGGAATGATGTTACTGTCGCCAACATCGGACGACGGACCGAATATCGACTAGGGACAGTCAGTCAAGTCGATTAGAGATTTAAAGAGAACCGACAACCACTTTTTTTTCCCTTCTCTCTCTTCCTCTACATCATCCCTATCCGTGGGACTTTTCTGCTTCCTTCTTCGCCGGCAAAGCCTGCCATTACCTACCCAGAGGGGGCCACACCTACCCTCAACATGTGGCTCTTTACCCTTCTAGCCGTCCTGTTAGGATGTGCCCAGGTACAGGCCAAGGCAGTATTTGCTCATTTTATGGTGAGCCCGTTCCTACAACCCTCTAGTCTGCACACATGGTACACAAGGAAACTAACTTTGAACTAGGTGGAAAATGCCAAACTCTGGAGCGTGGACCAATGGAAGGTCGATATCAGGCTGGCTCAAGCTGCCCACATCGACGGGTTTGCTCTGAACATTCGAGCTGATGATACCACTCTCGGCGTATCTCTATCCAGGGCCTTTGAGGCGGCCGACGACTTGGGGTTCAAGATGATTTTCTCGTTCGATTACGCGGGCGGAGGCCCCTGGGGCTCCAACCTCGTAGTCTCCATGATCTTGCTCTATTCCGGCTACAATTCGTATTATATTGACAAACAAGGACGGCCTGTCGTGTCTACCTTTGAAGGGCCGGCTCAAGCTGGGGGCTGGGAGTACATCATCAAGAAGACCAACGCTGCCTTTATCCCCGACTGGTCGTCACTCGGGGCTAAGGCGGCGCTCGAAGCTGCCCCTTGTGTCCCGCACGGTCTCTTCAGCTGGGCGCCGTGGCCATGGGGTAACACGGACGGCAACACATACGTGGATGCTTCGTACATGGAGTTCATGGAGGCGGCCGAGAAGAACTGCGACATGGACATGCAATATAGTAAGAGCTTGCTTGGCTTGGACGTCTGGTTACACTTTTGGCGAGAGCACATTACTAACCCTGAGTCCGTGGTATAGTGATGCCAGCAAGCCCTTGGTTTTACACCAATCTCCCGGGCTACAACAAGAATTGGTTGTGGAGGGGCGACGACCTGTGGTTTGACCGCTGGGAGCAGATCCGGTTCATGAACCCCGACTACGTCGAGATCATCTCTTGGAACGATTACGGCGAGTCCCACCACATCGGTCCCTTGTACGTCGAGGGCGACAGCTACGAGGCCTTTACAGTCGGGAAAGCGCCCTTCAACTACGCCTTGGACATGCCCCACGACGGCTGGCGCGAGCTGCTGCCCTTCACCATCGACCTCTACAAAACCGGCGTGGCCACGATCAAACAGGAGAAGCTCGTGGCCTGGTACCGCGTTACCGCCAAGAACGCGGCGTGCGACGACGGATGGACCACGGGCAACACGGCGAGCCAACTGCAGCTTGAGTTTACACCCCAGGACGTGGTACAGGACAAGATCTTTTACTCGGCCCTCCTTGCCAGCAGCCAGCCCGTCACGGTCACCGTCGGCGGCGTGAACGTCGGCGCTACGTGGACAAAGACGCCCAGCGGCGGCGCCGGCATCTACCACGGCAGCGTCGACTTTGGGGGCAACACAGGCGCTGTCGTCGTCACGGTCGGATCCATGACGGTCAACAAGCGGCCCATTACGGCGAACTGTGACGACACGAACGGATACACGAACTGGAACGCCTTTGTAGCGAGCACCACGGGAGCGGCGGTTAGTGCCACGGTCAACTCGACGCAGTGGGTGTGTATCGAGGGCACCGCGGCCGCCGGCTTTGACGAGCTCTGCGCCTTCACCTGCAAGTACGGATACTGCCCCCGTCGGCGCCTGCCTCTGCACCAAGATGGGGCCCGGCAACAAGCTCCCCGGCCCCGAAACCCCCGGGTTCGGCACCGTGGGATTCCCGGCCAAGGGCAGATCGGCCAGCTACGGCGGCCTGTGCAGCTTCGCCTGCAACTACGGCTACGACTGCCCCAACGCCTACTGCGACACGGTCGAGCATGAGCTTGTCATCCCCAACGTGTCGCCCTTCACCCCGGACGCATGTACCTCGGGAGTCGGCGAGGGCGGCCTCGGCGGCCTCTGTGGCTTCTCGTGCAACTTTGGCTTCTGCCCTATCCACTCGTGCACCTGCACGTCGACGGGGGCCCTACACGTCCCCCCTGGCCCGAGCAACACCATTACCGGCAAGGCAGACCCGAGCGTCGACGAACGCATCTACGGGCCCCTCTGCGAGTTCGCCTGCAGCCGCGGCTACTGCCCCGAGGGCGTTTGCGTCCAGTCCGGCGTCGACGATGGGAACCCTTTCAAGAACGTTAATCCCGCTTACCTTGGCCCCCAGGTCTACGAGACCCCGACGGCGGCCTGCGAGAGCCCTTGTGTGCTCGTCCTGCCCCCGAGCAAGCTCCCAGCCACCACGACGTTCCGCCTCCCGCCGTATCCCACCTCGTTCCAGGTCGGGTCGACGACCACGACTGTCACGCTCTACCCCGCCGACATCGTGACCGACCAGGTCTCCTTCTCCAACATCAACATCACTGGCGCTGTGACGGACGGGGCTGTCTTCCCCAGATGTACGAGCTTGAAGCCCGAAGCCATCCCCGTCACTCTCACCTACGTATCCAATGCCAAAACGACGGTTACCGTGCGCCAGGTCGAGCTGCCGCCGTGGCCCCAAATTACCCAAGGGCCGCCAGACCAGTGGACGTCGACATGCGGCGGCTGGGTAACGGGCACCATTACCAACACCAACGACGACGACACCGACGGCGTTATCCCTTGGATCCCGCCGCCCACCACCACTACAACGACACCATGGCCGACTTATACTGGGAGCTTCCCGCCTGCTATTGTCGAGCCTATCGTCGAGCCCCTTGGCGCACAGTGCCACAATAACCGCTGCCTACCCGAGGAAGAAGACGACGACAACAAGCACAGCAACCATGTGGTCATTAAAGTGAAGTGTGACGAGCTGTGGTTCTTCATCTTCTGCATCGACACCGAGCATATCAAGGTCTTTGGTTGGAAGTTCACGTTCCCCAAAGCCGTTATTGGACCGTACGAGCTATAACCCCTTTTCCTTTCTTGCGCTCTTTGGATAAGTAGTCTAACTACGAACAACATGCATAGGGGTCCGCCGCCGGGACTTGAAAACCTCCCAGAGGGTTGGAAATTCATCGACTTCCCCGATTTCCCTCCCTGGCCCAAAATTACGTTAGTACTATACTCCCTATCTTGTTACCCCAAATGACTTTATCGGTATTACTAACTGCGGGCTCACTAACCTCGCTATTAGTATTGGACCGGATCTTACCTACCCGGACAAGCCTACCGACTGCGACAATAACAAACTGGAGGTTCCGGTGGAGATGTACACGAAATCATACGGCCTCTCCGTTTCCAACGGCGCCACGGTCACGACGACAACCAAGACTATCACCGAGACGGCCTACGAAACCGGCTGCCCCATCCCAGAATACACAACTACGGCCGCCTGCGGACTCGGAAACGGCAAAATCAAGCGACAGACGACCCTTTCCGACCTATCCCTTCCGGTTGCGACTGCGGCACCGGCCACTACCGGCCACTCCCCGGCTCTTGTCGCCCGTTCCGATGACGATGATGACTCTGATTGGGTGAATGATCTGGGCGACAGTTGCGAGGAGAAGTACGGCGCGGCGATTTACTTCAAGGAGGAAGCTCGCGCTAGCGACATTGAGTTGGTCGAAATCCGAATCTTGATGACCAAATTAGAACACCATCATTTCAAGCACGACCGTCTCGGAACCATCTTTATTTATGTCCGGAAAGCTCCAATCTCCTTTTTGAACAAGATCGGCAATATGGATGGGGTGAGTTATTGTTGCTGCCACTTTCGTCTTCCTTTCGCGGGTGCTAACCCTGTTCTTTTGTTTGTTTTCAGGTCGACCTAGAGTCTATGACAAAGTGGAAGGAGATGAATTTCCTGAAAGAGAGAAGCTGGAGAGCTATATCCGGGCCGACTTTCAATGCGACCAATTTGCGCAAGAGAGATTTTGCCAACCCGTTTTATGACGATATAGAAAACTGGCACCGCTCGATGGTCTCGAGCTACCCGGGTCAGCAATGGAGGCTCCAGGGCGATGGCCATAATATGGTATATTACCATGATGGCATCTTAGGCGAAGGGCAGTACATTTACAACTTTGATGAAGGCGTTTATCGGGTATGTGCTACAATACTATGTTTGTGGAACACTAGCTGACACTACTACCGCTCAGTATGATAATGATCTTGATCCCGACAGGGTTCTAGAGTTTGATTGCGAACACAGTATCAACAACGGTGTGAGCTCCGCTGATTACAGTCATGGTACACGTGTTGCTGAATATGCTATTGGCCAATCCCTTGGGATTGCTCCTGGGGCAACCTTTCTTGTTATGGATGATCCGCTAACTATGAATTCGGATTTGGCCGGCGGCCTTGAGACCAATCTGATTCGCGTACTGGCCATGATCAAGGACATTGAGCACACAGGAAGGCAAGGGAAGTGCGTTATAAACATATCAATATCGGAGGTTGTTCCGGAGGGGATGACCGATAGGTGGATGCCTCTATTGAGTAAGTGAAGCTCTCACTTTTTGTTTCTCCTTCTCCCTTTGTTTTCTTAGGAGTTGCTCTAACGTAAGTATGCAGGAATGATGCTTCGCTACCTGGAAACCAACCTCCAATGCGTTGTGGTCCACGCTGCCGGAAACCTGGACTTCGATCACCCTCAGAGATACGCAAACGAAGCAGTCCCGGCACGGTGGGTTCTCGACAACAGCCTCCTCGACACGATAGTGGTCGGATTTGCCTCCAAGCATGGTTTACGTGCCACGCATAGCCTCCCGTGGAATATCAATGGACGGGCTAAAGACACATCAATGATCTTCGCTCCCGGTTTGCAGCTGTACGACAAGACAGGAGATCCTTTTGATGGTGGAAGTTCTATGGGTGAGTCTCTAGCCTTTTTACACTGTTATTTCCTTCCAGTTTCAAGACTGACAGTTGTCCGGTATGCAGCTGCCCCTATGGTAGCAGCCCTGGTCGCATATCTCCGCGCGCTTCCCTCGCCTTTCGCCGAGGATTTGAAAAATCCGGTGTTTGCAGGGAAGATGGTAAAATATTTGACACGCAAAGTTAATGTGATTGATGATCTCATGATATATTACCCGAATATTGAAGTTATGGGGAATCCTCGCAGAATCATCTGGAACGGCAACGTCGGGGTCGAGAACTGCCTCGTTGGCTACCATACTGGGTTCCAGTCTGCCGAGGCTCAGGCCGTTTGTAGGGTGGTAAACGAGGGCATACCCGAGCCAGGTAACACGAACAATTGGACCCCTGATACCACACATATCGACAACAACTTTCCACTCAACCCAGGCTCTAGCAACGGCGGCGCTGTAACCTGGTAAGTGACACTTCCTATACCTACCACCGTATCCATCACTAATAGCAAACAATAGGCACTCGGGCTCGGTATCGCCGACCTGCACCGCCAACTGTGGCACACTGTGCACTGGCTATTATTGCGTACCCCAACCTACCGGTAGCCCGCCAGACTTCTCTGACCCCGTCAACGCGGTCGTGACCAAAACAACCTCTACGACGGCCAAGGCCACAACAACCAAGGCCACAACGACCATGGCCACCACAACCAAGGCTACGCCGACAACCACCGTGCAGCCGCTTACGCGAGGTCCTATTCACTGTCACAACGAAGCCGACTACCCGAAACACGATGACATCAATTCCAAAGACCAGAAAAAATTTTCGGAGGATTTTATGGACGCTAAATGGGACACGATCGGACCGAACGATAAGCCATTGATGCAGTTTGGCTTCGACAACTACGGCGTTGAGTACGTCTACCGCGCCGAATGGGTTGAGGGGTGCGTTACGACGGTCTCGAAGCAGAACTTCCATTACCCACTGGGCGAGTCGAGCGAGGTCACAGCTTATACGCTCGTGAGAGACAATTATGTCCTTTGTGAGTTATCTCTCTCCTTTTTGGTTCCATTATTCTCTATGGGCTTCAAGAATGGGGAAGACAGAAAAAAAAAAATTAAACGCACTAACGCTTCATGTCTACAGGCAATAACGGCGGTACCGGTGGCTGGACACAGGCTGGCTGTTTGAAGTACACCTTTTATTGTGGCTCATGGTCCACCTGAGTATACACCGCTGTTCAGCAATCACCTCATGGATGTTTGTCGTGGTCCGGGTGTCTGACAGGCAGTTGAGTCGTTACAGTACCCCCCCTAAAAATTGCAGTCACCATGTGACGGAGGGATAGGGAGGGATTTGTAATTAATGATCCAACATATCGTCACGAACTGGGCCTAGAAGGTTCCTACTCCCACGAAGAGTTGTAGGAGCGGGGGACAGTCTGGACCAGTTGTTGCTAACAAAGCCCGGAGCTCAGACCGTACACGCACCTATGTAGGGGCTAGGTTAGGAGTGCTGAGCAAATACACAAGATGCTCGAGGCTGGGGGCTGCGAGAAGAGGAATCTCCCTAAATTGCAGCTGAATAGGTACCAGTGTTGTTAATCCATGTTAGGTATACTTGGCTAGAAAGTCCGGGTGAAGCATATGTGACTGATATTGTATATGTGTATTGGAATCCCTTTGTCATCTCTGTGAGATGGGTGTAAAGTCTGTTACGGAAATGCTAATAATAATGGACGTAAAACTAGTAGATCCTAAGAGTGTCACACGGTTGTTCACACGGCCTTCCTGGCACTACATCGAATCAACCTACGACGCAGCAGCTAGCACAGCTCACTACAGTTCTTCACACCCCAACGACAAAGCAGGGCAACCAACAGTAGGAAAGAAGCCCTGAGAGGAGATGGGAGTAGATTGGACACATTCAAGGACATTTGTGTATACAGACAGCCGAGATTAGCTTACCTTGGGCCCCAGGCAACAAGGTCGGCACGGACACCTCCGGGGATATTCGTGACAACCGAGATTAGCCCGCATCGTAGCCTTGGGCCCCAGGCGACAAGGTGGGGACGTACGGAGCCTTCTTCGTGTATAAGAAGGCCTTGAGGTCCTACCTTCGGATGGAGGTTCGGAGGATCCATAAGGCCTTCGAGACCAAAGATTATTAGCTGAATTGAAATCTTTATTCCAAGCCCAGAATACTGCCCTTGTCACAAAGACTTCCTGGTGTACCTCCAATCATTCTCACGTGTACTTCAGTAAATATACCTCCGGTGCCTTTTTTTAAGGTTGGCTAACCCGCTAATTTGTTCTGGAACATGGGTATTGTGGGCTTGGGTTGGCAAAGGACGCAGACTAAAGGATAGCTGGATTTGGTGTTTTTGCAATGGTTCTACGGCGCCTCTTCGATGGTGATTTCCTTAAGCACCCTCCGACCAGTGAAGTCACCGGCTATACGGTTGGGTTAGGTCCCAACTTTGCTCTGAACGTA